AGAAAATAAAAATGATCTTTCCTCCATCCCTGGTGCCGTGGTTCTTCCACCCAGCCCTTGATGCCCCTCCTCCTCCGTCCCTTTGCCAAACCTCCCCTTTGGGTCCCTTGCTGACACCACCCCGCCGACGGGTCTCCCCCACGTGCTGGCTCCCAGCTCCCCCGGGATTTGTCACCTCTGTGCGGCCCCGTGTCCGTAAGCACCACGATGGGGACGAAGGCGGAAAGAGGAGCCGGGGGGGCCTCAGCCCGCGGCAGAAGAGAGAACCGAGAAAACCCCCGGGCGCCGTCTCCCTTCCCAAGACTCGCATTCCTCTCTTGGGCACCACGCGGTGATGGGCTTCGCCCAAAACAAACCACAAAGAACTCGGCGGGGCTCCTGGTGCCGCCACGCCGGGTCCCCCCCGACCCCAAACCCCTCCCGGGGTGACGCAGCCCCCACAGCCGAGCCCCCCCTCCCCGTCGCCGCTTCCCCAGCCCCCCGCACCGGGACCGGGGGGGGCGGGACTGTCCCCTCACTGCGTCCCCGTCCCCCCCCGACCCTGCCCCAGACCCCGGCGCTCTCAGGGGACACGGCGCGACCTGACCCCCTGCCCCTGCGACCCCCAAAACGTCCCAGCTGGCCCCGGGGCTGAGGCTCCTGAGGTAATATTAGGGGGGCTGGGACCCACCGAGCGGCCAGCGGGACTCCCGCCCTCACCCGCCCCTGCATGCCGCCGCCTTTTGTCCTCGCCCCGCCGGCAGCCCCTTCCCCTTAACGGCAGCCGCTTCCCCTCTCTCTGCCTGGGCCCCCCCAGCCCAGTCAGCCACTCCACATGGCACCGACTGGTTCCCGCTGCTCCCCCACTGCCAAACACGCCGGGACCCCAGAAACCTCCCGCCTCGGCACCGCTGCCACAGAATCCGACCGCCCCGTTACAGAGATCCTCCACAAACACTCGCTTTCAGTTCCACCCGCTTTACGCCAAAACTTCACCCGGACTTCACCAAACCCGCTTTCTGCTCCACGACAAAAGAATCCTGCCCCTCCCATGGCGCACACCTGTCCTCCGCTCCTGCCTTCCACCAACTCCCCCGGCTTTCTCCCGCCTTTCTCACCGCTGCCGCCGCATCAAACCTCTTCTCCTTCGCCCGCTGGACGTCTGGGGGAGCAGGGACACGGCCAGACTGCTCTAAAACCTGCTCTACCGACATCCCGCCGACTACAGCAGCTGGGTACGGAGCCTCCGACACACACCCCGCCAGCAGAAACGGAAAGTTACCGACGCAACTAACCAGCCCGTGGCAAACCACAGCTCCCGACGGCCGTGCGCGGAGAGCACAACCGCTGCCCGGGAGTCAAGGACGAGCCAAAGGCAGAACAAAGCCCCAGCCCGAGTTTAGGGCCCCCAACACGCTCTCGCTCACCTCACAAGTGAGGGCGCTCAACCTCCAGGGCCCGCTCGGGGCAGCGTCCAGACCCAAGGCACCTCGAGGAGTCTCCTCGGGCGGCGGCCGGGGCCCCGCGGAGTGTTCTGGACTGCCCCGTGCTGCGCCAGGGGACCCGCTCAAAATGGCTGCCGGAGGGCGTTATGGCGCCGCCGCAGGGCAGAGGGACATAACCGCCCTCGGGGTTGTTCCCGTGGCCAACAAAATTCATCAGCAAGGGCCCAAAGCAACGCCGCGATCCACCCAGGTACACCCACCCTAAGCAAACAGAGCCTTTACAGCGCAGCCCTCATGAATATGCATGAGGTGGGGTGCTGCCGTCAGCGGCTTTGCCTTGGCGGGGAGGAGGGACGGCGCAGCGCCGGGGGCTGGTGTCCAGGGGCCCGGCAGGGCCGCCGGAACGCCCTTGGCTGGAGGGCGGCGGCCGTGTGAGCTCCCTTTAACCGCTGGTCTGACATCGCCCCCACAGACATCCTGCCGGATTTCTCCTTTTAAACCTTGGGTTCCATGGAAAGTGCAGAACATCTAGAGGCTTTATACATGAGAGAATCCTAACACTGTCCGACCACAACAAAGTTTAGTTACAACACAATCTGACAGTAACACGGCTTTTCATGTTTCATTTAATAAATATTTTAAACATAGCTTGAGATTTCAGTAACATGTACCATCTATGTTTCATTCCAGTGTACGTATGTGAAAAGTTCTTAGGGTTTTGTCTTCAAAGCTGTTCCAGGCTCTCCTAAAAGTGGATGTTCTGACTCTGCTGTTACTGCACACGGGTGGAGGGAGAAGGGAAAGTACCAGACAGCCCCTTGTGTACAACACCAGAAAATCCAAGAAGGTTCCAGAAGCTGCACTCCCATGTGCAGACCGAAGGTGGAACCTTCCTGGAGACTTTTTGGAAGAGAGGCGCCCCGATTATGGATGTGTATTAAATCCAGACTAAAAAGAGTGGGTTTGGTCTGAGGGTGTGCAGCGGGTGTGGAGCGCTGACTCCCCGGCGTACCCCGTGACAGACCCGGCAGAGGAGGGGGGTCAGCAAGGACCCACAGGGGAGGTTTGGCAAAGGGTCGGGGGAGAAGGGGCATCAGGGGCTGGGTGGAAGCACCACGGCACCAAGGATGGAGAAAAGATTTTTAAGCTCTCAGGTGGGGTCACCCCAGGGAGGGTCCCAGCCCTACACCCCCGCCTGCTGTCTCCGGGGTGCCCCTTGCTGCTCTGGGACCAGCACTGCCACCTCCGGGGATACCGAAAAAAACGGTGGAGGAAGAACTCTCTGGTGTTAGGGATTAATCATAATTTAAAATGAAACCACCACCTTCAAATGTGGTTTAGTGCTCAATAAAATTCATTAGTGAGCAAAACAGCGCCGCGTGTGCCGGACAGTCTCTGCTGCACCCAGACACACACCTGACACCCCCAGAGTCCTCTGACAGTGCAGCCGCATGAATATTCGGGGTGTGGGGTGTGGGGGGTGCTCCCTGAGGGGTCTGCAAGTCCTCAGCAACTGTTCCCGGGCTTTCCCGTGGCGGGTTTTTGTTGCCGGGGAAGGTTCGGGCAGGAGGGGACGGCTCAGCACAGGGGTGCAGGTATCCACGGGCAGACATGTCTGGGCAGAACGCCACCTGGCCTGGGGGCGCGGCCATTTTAACTCCCTTTTAACAGCCGGTTTTAACCATAAAAACTATAGACAGAATGTCTTAGCTCCTTTTAAACCTTAGGTTACATGCAAAGTGCAAAAATATTTAGAACCATAGCACTGGCTGACCACAACAAAGATCAGTTACAATACAATCTGATGTTAACACCATTTCTTTTTAATTTACTGAATAATATATTTAACCATAACTTGAGATTTGAATAACAAATGTCATATAGGTTTTATTGCATCTGGGACTCAGGATCAGAGGGTCAGACTGCAGCGCTGGGTGCCCAGGGGATCTCTCTGCCTAGCGTGCACACCCAGGCCCTTCGCTGACACCTTAAATGCAGGTACCTTCTCCATATTCATAGGGCTGCACGGCTGCTCTGCTGATCAAGGTTACCAGTTATCCCAGACACCAGAGGGAAAAGAGCAGGCGTATTTTACTGGGGACAACCAATGTGACAGTGGAATACAGAAAACATGCAGTAGGAAAAAGCAGAGCAGTGCATTTAAAGCAGCAACAGGAGAACACAGGGCAATGCCTCGAATCACTACTAGACGAGAGAGCAGTAATTAAGGAAAATACATCCCCACTTGCATATGTTCTCATCAGCCAGAACCCAGTCCCTGGGCAGCCCCGGGTGCCGCGAGGGTTTGCAGAGCCTGTCCCGGCAAGTGGGGGGTCCTACGGGGTGCGTCCACCCCTAGCTGAGGCCTCCAGAGTCGCTGTGAGCGGGCCTGGCCTTATACACCAGAGATGGGTGAGCCAGCACAGCCGGCACCTTTGTTTTGAGCAGGAAATTTCTGGTTCCATTCTCCTGTTGGATTCCACCCAAAGCCTGGCCAGGGCCCGGCAGGGGAAACCAAGGCAGTTTCTAACAAGGGCAGATACTTGGGTTCTCAGCCCTGAGCAAGGCTGAACAAGGGACGCCGGACACGTTCTCTCCTCACTCCTGATTCTATTCCGCCCGAGCTGCTCCCTTCCCTAGCCAGCTCACACACTGTGGTAAGGATTACAGACTGTCAGCAGCTTCGGCTTGGGGCTGCCGCTCAGGCTGCAGCGGTTCAATGCTTCAGCACTTTTTCCACCAGCACAGGGGGGTTGTTGTACCTCAGTACAATACCCGCTAGCACAAGGGTTATCACTTATAAAATATACAGGATTCATCTCTCAGGCAACTCCGGCCTGGGCCGGCTGTCCGAGCCTTAGCACTCCAGTTCTGCACCGTTTCAGTGACCTTCGCACAGCAGTTCAGTTACAAGTTCTCTCTCTCCCAGAGAGTGTAAGCAGCAGGAGTGTGACAGTGGCCATCTCCTCCACGGACATGCTCTGCCCCACGCTGGCCCCCACTGATCACCGCTCCCGGGTGATTTTCCCTGGGTCGACTCCATGCACCCCCCGTCACAGCCCGCTGCAGACAGCACCTCCCATCGGGGACCCTCCCGCGGCGTCTCCTGCGCTCCATCCCGCGGCAGCGGGGCCACCACTTGTTGTGGGAAGATATCAGACCTGTCCAGCTCCGGGAGAGATGGAACAAGCAAAGGCCTTTACTTTTCCAAGAGTGCCTGCTTTTGCTCTCGCCAAAGCTCTCACTTCATAATGAGCAAATCGGCAATTAGACAGTTTCTCCCACCAGCACAAGCCCACTCTAACTGGCGCTGTGCAGAGCAGTCGCCTCCTTGTTTACGCCGCGGTAACTTCTCACCGTTCAGGACTTTCCCACAGCTCAGGGTTGCAGCTCTCCCTTGTTTTTCCTGCCACCTTGGCACAAGTGGGCAGTTTCTGATCTTTCTCCCAAGGTGTTTCTCATCCACGCCTTGCTGCTTCCCAGAGGCTGTGCAGGGCTGACAGGCTGGTGTCTCCCACAGGGAAAGGTAAACACCCAGGTCAGTGGGAAGAAGGAGCAGGACGAAGGGTGGGAGGTTTCCTGGAGCTGGGGGGACTGTCTGCCACGAGAGGGACAGGACGTGGAGCAGAGGGGGTGATTCTGCAGCTGTCACTGGTTCCCCCCACCTTGGGGGATGAAGTGGTGACTGACTGCACCCCGCACCCCCTGTCCCTGCGCTGCCGGGGTTGGAGCTGGAGATCTGGGGATCAAAACTGAGCCCGGGAAGATGGGAGGTGGGGGAGGAGATTTAAGACAGGGTAATGCTCCTGACCGTCCCACTCTGTCTGTGAAGCGTTGGGTCTGTGCTTGAATTAAAGCAGAGGGGATTTTTCCTTCCCCAAACAGAACAGTAATGGGAGAGTCGCCCCCCCTTGTACTTATCTCTGTTCCTGAGCCTCTGGGTTCATTTTCTCCTTCCCAGCGCTGGGGGGGGAAGGGGGGAGTGAGTGGCCGTGTGGGGCTCAGTTGTCCCCTGGGCTCAACTAAGGACAGGGGACGGTTAAAATAGCCGGGAGGACGGAGGTGGGTTCTGGACCTGGGCCCGAGTGATCCCGGCTGGGGCTGATCTAAAAAGAGCGAGCAGCTGCTTCTCGCCTCTCCTGCTGACGGCAGAAGCTGGGGAGCAGCACCCCGACACCACACCTGCCGTGGGGAGCTGGTAACGCTTCCAGCTGGGGCTCAGGTAACGGGGTGGGGCTCTCGACGGTGCCGGGAGGGGTCCCTGGCTGGCTGGTGATTCCCCCAGCCTGCCCTGCTCTCTCCGCAGCCCACTCCCCGCGCCGCCACTGCTCTCACTCCCCCACCTCTGCTTGCGGAGGATCCGGCTGCTCCCCAGCCCTGCGGCAGACGGGGGCTTCCCCCGGGGCGGCTCTGCCCCCCATGGGGCATCTGGCACTGGGTTTGGTGCTGCTGGCCGGGACCCTCGCCGCCAGCAGCCCCCCGCGCCAGCGAGACCTCGACCCCCTCCAGGAGGTGGCACTGGACATGGCCCCCAACTCCTTTGATGACCAGTACCGCGGCTGCAGCCACTTGATGGAGGAGGAGCTGGAGGAGCTCAACCGCACCGAGATCGCCATCAACAACATCTACGCCAAGGCCTGGACCCACGCCGCTGCCGAATGGCGGATCCGGCAGGGCCACGTCCCCCGGCCGCCGGCGCTGCGGCCGGAGCACGCGGTCGCCCTCCTGGCGTACACGACGCAGGAACCCCTGTACCGGGAGTTCAACGCGGCCGTGCGCGAGGCTGGGCGCTCCCGCAAGTAATGTCGGGGCATCTTTCACTTCAAGGTGCTGCATTTCCTCCTGACCGAGGCCCTGCGTGTCCTGCGCGAGGCCCAGCCCCGCCGCTGCCACCGCGTCTACCGGGGCGTGCCAGGCATCTGCTTCAGCGCCCAGCAGCACCAGTCCATGCGCTTCGGCCAGTTCACATCCACCTCCCTCCAGTACAATATCAGCCAGCTCTTTGGCCAGGACACCATCTTCTTGGTGGAGACCTGCTACGGCGCCCACATCAGCAACTTCTCCTCCTTCCCTGGGGAGGAGGAGGTCCTCATCCCGCCCTTCAAGAGCTTCGAGGTCACCGACGTGGCCCACCATGGGAACGGAGCCCTCATCCAGCTCCGCTCCCGGGATGCACGCAGCACCTGTAACTGTGAGCTGGTGAAAGGTGACGTCCCCACTGCTAGGCGGGGGGGACAGGCGGTGGCGCTGTCCCACCAGCTCTGCTGGGAAGGGGGGGTCTTGCCCGTGGGGAGGGTCACGGGGGGAGTTTGCCTGCAGTTGGTAGTCCCTGCAGGTCTCCCAGCCACTCTGCCCCGGTGTTTGCAATGTGGGCAATTGGCAGCAAAGCGTGGCGCAGCATGGCATCGTACCACAGTGCATGGCATGAAAGGACAGGGCAGGGTATAACATGGCACGGTACAGCACGGCGTGGCATGGTGGAGCTTGGCACGGCACAGCATCATGGCACGGCAAGACATCGCGTCATGGCGTGGCACGGAATAGCACGGGACAGCAGGGCACAGCATGGCGCACCATGGCAAAGCACAGCGTAACACGGTGTGGCTTGGCACGGGGCAGCATAGCTTGAGGAGGCCCAGGGCAGGACAGCACAGCACGGCACGGTACGGCACGGCACGGGGAGGAGCAGCGCCGTGCGCGGGGCCCGTGCAGACGGTTGGTCTTTTCGGCAGAGAAGAGATGCCGGAGCCGGGCGTGCGTCTTCAGCGCAGGCGAGCCCCGAGTCCCTGATCAGGCCCACCCACACCCCCAGCTGCCCCTGACTTGGCTTCTGTGACACCCCCGGGCAGGAGCATCCCCAGGGACCCCTGTGATTCTGGGGGCTCCTCCTGGCAGCCACGGCCCTGGCAGCCACCGGTGGCCCCTGAGCCACGAGGCCACCGAGCCACAGTGAGGACACGGGGTCGTGACTAGTCCCCACTGGCTTGACGGCGACGGCAGGGGGACGGGGGGCTGGGGACACGGGGATGGTGTGTCCCCACGGGCACCCACGGAGGCAGGATGAGGCCTTGGGCAGAGTCGGGAATGGGGGTGGGTGCCGATGGGGATGCAGGGGGGGACACGCATTGGCAGGGCTGATTTTGGGGGTGTCCCTGCCCAGGTTTATGCTGGTCCCCGAAGGAATAAAGACTTACTGTGGGTGCGGGGTGTCCCCAGGGGGTTCCTGCAGCTGCCTGGGCTGGGGGCAGCACGTGGGGGGGCTGTACCTGAGGCCCTTTCCACTAACCCCCAGCCCCCGAGGGAGCAAAGGGGCAGGCGATGGGCCCAGCTCCCCGGGGGTCCCTGTGCCCCTGGTCTATCCCTAGCTCTGTGGGTGGGGGTCAGGGACGGATCCTGCCCTCTGTGGGCACCGGAGCCACCTCCCAGGACACGGGTGACACCGGGCAGCCTCGATGAGCTTTAATGAACCCTGGGGTCCTACAGCCGGCCGTGGGCAGCGCTCCTGGCTCACGTCAATGACAGGGGGGGCCGGACCCCCACGCACAGCGGGGCCGGCAGAGGTAGGAGCCCCGCGGACCCCATGTACGGCAGGGCACGGAGACGAGCCCCCACGGAGGCATCACGTCCTCACGGGGACCCGCACTGCGGCGGGCGTGCATGCATTCACCCGTCACGAGTTGCTGCCCGGTCTCAGCCCAGTCCGCCGCTCTGCGCGGGGGTTGGGGTCTCCCACTTCGCCTCCTGGGTGTCGACGCCAAGGGGGCTTAGCACCACGCGGGTGAAATTGGCGTGGAGGTGCTGGGCGCCGAAGGGGCTGAAGCTCAGGTCGCGGCGCAGCGTCACCCCCGGACCCCGCAGCTCCTCTCTGTGATGCGGGGGGGCACCCATCAGCACCCGCTCCGTGACAGCCCCCCCACCCTGGGGCTCAGGGACCCAGCGTCCCTGCCAGCCCCAGCGCCCTGGGCAGCCCCGCTGCTGCCGGGCCCCCCGCACCCCGATACTCACAGCACCGTCCCCTCGCAGACGGCCCCGTTGAGCTGCTTGTAATAATTGTAAAATTTAATTTTGATGCTTAATATTTGATCCCTGAGAGGACAATAATCCCCTTTCTTTCCACAAAGCTTCATGGACATTTACCACCCTAAAAGCATACTTTGAGTCTGTCCAAATAGTTACTTTCTTCGTTTCACTTAATTCTAAGGTTCGAATCAAAGTAATGAGTTTTGATTTCTGAGCTGATGTGGTACTTGTCAGTGCCTTTGCTTCTATAACTGTGGTGTCTGTTGTTACCGCATATCCAGCATATCAAACTCCTCGCTCCATAAAGCTGCTGCCATCTGTATACAACTCCCAGTCTGGTTGCTCCAATGCTACATCCTTCAAACCTTCTCAACTGGAATCAACATACTTGATAGTAGCCAAGCAGTCCTGCTCCAGTTGCTCTTCTTCCTGTGTGGAACTTAAAAACACTGCAGGATTTACCAGGTGAGTTGTTTTTAGAATCACATCATCTTGTTCAGTCGGTACTACCTGGTACTTCATCAATCAGCTCAGAGATAACCAATGTCCCCCCTTCTGTTCTAAAACAGTTATCACCATGTGTGGGACACAGACTGTTACTGTGCTTCCCAAAGTTAATTTCTGAGCTTCCTGTATGAGCATCACTGTTGCAGCCACAGCTCAAAGGCAGTTTAGCCACCCTTTACTCACTGTGTCCAGTTGTTTAGAGAAGTATCCGACAGGTCCTTTGCAGCTTCCCATCTTCTGAGTCTGCACACCTAGTGCCAGGCGTTGTGTTTCGTGAACAAACAGCTCAAAGTCTTTGGTTATGTCCAGAAGTTCTAAGGCAGGTGCAGACATTAAAGCATGTTACAATTCTGTGACAGCCCGTTGTTGCTGTGGGCCCCATGTAAAAGGAGAGTTCTTTGGGCCTCATATAGCAGTTTAGGTGTTAGACCATAATTCATGATCCAGAGGTAGCAGCACGCTGTCATTCCTAAGAATGCTCTGTGAGTTCATGAATATTTTTCGGCTCACATGGCTTCTCAGTGTTCTGTTCCTAATTGCTGCTGTCCTTCTGAAATCTCAAAGTCCAAATATATCACCGTCTGACATGCTATTTGGCCTTTTTTTTCTCCTTTTTTTTTTTTTTTTTTTCCTGGGTACCTTGTACCCATTCAGTGCCAGAAAATTAAAAAGATCTATTGTTACCTGTATGTAGGTAAATCTTTCTTCTGTAGCAATCAGTGTGTCATCCACGTATTGTAAAAGCAAACGTCCAGGTTTAGGTTTGTCCTGTTTCTGTGTTTCAAGCTCCTTTGCCAGCTGATTTTCAAAAATTGTCAGGGTAGTGTTGTCCATGTCAGCTGCATCTTTCGTCCTGTTTGTGGATTTTCCCACTCAAAAGCAAACAATTTTCTGTTTTCCTTCTCCAAAGGTATACAAAAGAAAGCATCTTTTAAATCAAGCACTGTAAACCACTGTTAAGTCTCCTTTAAAGCTGTTAACAGCATGTAAGGATTTGCTGCTACAGGATATATACCCTTAACTATTTGATTCACTGCTCTGAAGTCTTGCACTAACCTATATTCACCTGATGGTTTTCTGACTGGTAGAATGAGAGTTTTATACTCAGATTCACACTCCTCCAAGATTTTATATTTCAAAAATTTATCAATCAGTTTCTTTCTTATATCTGGTACCGATTGTTCTATAAAAATCAAAGCAAATTATATCTGAGCTGCCTCAGTTTCTACTCTCAAATCAGTATTTTATTTTTTTCTGGCAGCTTCTTTTAGTCTTTCCAGAAACACTGAGGGAGATTCATTCTTATCTTGTCTCACCTCATACAATTTAGACCAGTTCAGAAGCCTAGGCATGGCATGTTTAACTCCATATAAAATCCATTTCTGATACCGACTTAGTCTTTGTCTGTGCTCCACATTATTTGGATCCCTACTGCGGATCCCCAGACAGAAAATTCTGCTCTAATATTCCACCTGTTGTCCCACTCAATGCAGTCACTTCTGTCTGTGCTTTGCCAGCTTTTAATATCTTGTTTTTCTGTATCATCTAATAAATTAGCTAAAATCACCTGTAAATCACTCCAATCCAGATTCTGTGTTCTGATGATAGTATCTACTACTTTGCCTGTTCTCTCAGGATCCTCTCTATACACTCCTGCTGCCTGCTTTTTAAGCCATCAAATCCATCACTGAAAAAGGCACTTTCACATATACCGACCCATCATTGCCAACTCCCTGCCGCAGGGAAGCTATTGTTTGTACCTGCTGCTGAGTTCTTTCGAGATACAGGGGTATGAATTCCAACCTCAGACAACCCTTCATCCACATCCTCTATTCCACTACTCTCAGGTTCCTCTACCTGTTCTCTGTATTCTCGCCCCCGATGCTGTTCTCTCTGCGGAGGGGATATATCTAATTCTGGCCCTTCATCCTTTTCAGTAGAAGCAATTCTTTCCTTTAAACAATCTTTTCAAGTTCACATGTTGAACAACACTTTTGCACCTTTTTATCGTCAGAAGTTATAGCTATTACTAAATTAGCTCTACTCATCAACTTACATTCCTTCTGCCAATCCTTCCTTTGTCTTAAGTAGAAAAATAAATCAACATATGGCACTTCATTTCCCTTCTCTTCTACAAAACAGCATTAACTGCAAAATGGTATTATAATTCAGTGTCCCATTCATGGCCCATTTTTCCTGATCATCCAAAGCATACAGAGGCCACCAGTGATTACAATATTCAACCATCTGACTCTTTCACAAATCATCGTGCAAATCTTCCTAGTGTGCTAACAGACATCCTAACAGAGAAGTTGTCAGAACTTTGTCATTTGCAACCAGATTACACATACTTTTACTTTTAAACAACTGAGGAAGCTTAGATTCCATGGTTCAGTTACTTTGTTAACACAATATACAATCAATCACTCACTCAAGTCTATCGCTTCGTCCTTCTCCGGCTGCACCCCTCATGGGATAACAGAACCGCGGATCCAAACTCCACACTCGCTTTGTGCTCAGTTGCACATCTCACGCTTACAAACAAACTCACACTCACACCTTTCCAAAATTATTACCATAAATAAAGGTTTTTCACACGATATAACACAGTTCTTAATTACCACACAATACTCAATCGAGGAAATAAACAGTACCACAGTAAAGTGCATAAAAACTTCTAACATTTCGTTAGAGGCACTACCTTTGAAAACTCTATAGCTTATAGGTTCCCTTGTCTATGCTGTTGTCCAGCCCTGCAATAGCTTTCGCTTATGTCTTACGGGCAGACGCCTAGGCTTACACTTTACACTAGGATCCTTTGGTCCAACCCTGCGCAGGTTTCGCCACGTCTGACAGGCAGACTTGCACTAGTGGGACTTTAACCATTCTGCTGTCACCAGGATTTGAAAAACTAAATTGGAAAATGTGAGTTTAGGAAAAATCTAACAATCTGTGTGCTTTTAATAGTTACTGTACTGGTCTCCCAGGGACTGAAGTTACACTATTTTGTCCTTAAAACAACTTTGCGCTCCCGTGCAGCGTTATCAAAGGCTTTCCTGCCCTTCCATCCCTCCAAACAGCCTTGAGGCTGCTCTGACTGACCCGTTGCAGTCACCCCGATGAGTTCTGGGTCATAAGGCAAGACTCTGCTGCCCTGCGCTGCGGCTGTGCCAGAGCTCCTCCCTTTCCGGGGGGGTTATAAGATTTGGCAGCGTTGGTCCCGTCGGCCCGTGCACCGGAGCGCTGTCGTCCGGCGGCTGTTCCCGCAGGCCGGGGCAGATTTCCCACGACCTTCGGTGTACGGCTGCGCCGGGCGGCCCCCGGAGTGCGCGTGCGCGGCGGCGGCCCTGGGACTGGAGGACCGGCGGCCCATAGAGCGCGAGCTCGGAGGAGTGACGGGCATCTCCGGCGTTTGTAAACGGTGCTGGTCGCTATAGTTACCGGGGGAGGAGAGGAAAC